TCCACTCGCACACCCACCGACACGCTCATGACGACGGCCCTGTGCGCCTCGCCTGCTGCACGCATGAGGGGGGGCCGCGACGAACGGCGCGCTGAGGGAGCCGTGACGTGTGGGCGTGCGACGAGGGCCTGTGGGGCGGAGCACACATTTCTTCCCCTCTTGTTTTGCTTTTTTATTGCGGTCAGGGCGGGCAGACACCCGCAGCGCCACACACACAGCCACACCCTGCCGCCGTGTTTTTCTTTCGTTTTGTTTTTGTTTTTTTGTGGATGTGGGTGTGCTGCCACCGTGCGTGATTGTTGATGTCGGGGCCGTACCGCATGTATCGCCGCCATCCAGCTGTGCCTCTTGCTGTGCTGATGTGCCTCCCTGTGCTCCTCTTCTCTTCTGCTCCTCCAGCACACACACACACAAAAGTAGTTGCACAGTGCTCTGCGGGAATGCTCTTGGTGATGGAGATGCTTTGGCTTGCGTCCCGTGCTGACATGGCGAGGCCGCCGCGTGTCTGCCAGCGGTGGGATTCACGGTGTCATTGGATGGATGCGTGTGAGACGCTCTTTGCATTCTGCTGGAGGCCGTCTGACACGGCTGCGCGATGCCCGCCTTATGTGAGGGTGCTGCCTGCTCTTGGGGTCATTCTTCTCTCCCCTCTGTTTTTGCTCTGCGGGTGCGTGCGTTGCTCGGTGTGTGCTGACGCGTGACGGACGGTGCCACGATAGCCTTCTCTGGCGATGACAGTGGCTGTGCTCTCGACACACATCCACACACTCTTTTCTGTCTCTGTGGGAGTGATTGCAGCAGGAGCGTGGTCTACGGCAGCGGCCGCTGACGGTGCGGAGAAAGACGAGGCGCTGAGGGAGGAGAAGAAGCCCGAATCCGCTAGACGAGCTGCCGCCGAGCCTGTTGTTGCTGGACGCGATGAGGCGCGAGTACGGCCACACGTACACCCGCACGGTTGCTGCGCCGTACTTCTTCCAGCACTGAGACGCCGCCGGCCACACTAAGTTGTGGTGCTGCCACAAGCACAAGGAGGACAACAAGATACATTGCATGACGGAAACCTGACCGGCATGTGGTTGCAGCGCATGGAGCACGTGCGCCAGTACGCGTTGGGCGTTGCGCTCATGATTGTGGAGGAGAGGCGGCACGACATTGTGGCGCTGTGTGTGTTCCGCGGCCGGGGCATGCCGGGGATTGTGAGGGACGCGGAGTACACGGAGCTGCTGGACTGAGGGAGGAGGTGGCGGACGTTGCGGCGCAGCGGGAGCGCATGACGGACTGCTTGTGCTGGAGGAGCACGTCTTAGAGTGAGCGTGGCGTGCTTTTGAATATCTGTGGAAAGAAAATAACGGTGATAGTGACTGTGGGGGTTTGAGGAACGGTGGACGGGCGAAGAGAGCTCCTTTTTTTGATTGTTGTTGCTGTTGTTGTTGAGCGGCGTCCACCTAATTGTTGTGTTGGCGGTGTGTGAATCTCATTGCTGGAAGGGACGGTGCGTGGCTGTATGACATGTCTCTCTTTTTGCTTCCGCTCTGCGTTGACGGGGAGTTATTTTGTGCTGAAGGCTACACGCAAGTGACAGGAGTGATGATGGCGATGATGATGACTGGCCGTGTGCTGCTGGTGTGTGCCCTCTGCGTGCTGTGGTACGGTGCCGGCGGTTGTGCTGAGGAGAGTGCAGGTGGAGTTCTGCCTGGTGCGTCTGGGGGTGGCGCTAAGAGTTTGCAGGGATCACAACCAATTGTACCGGAGGTGTTGAAAAACTCAGATTTAAAAGCATCAGATATTAACGACAAAACCGAAGAAACGCTTATAAAAGTGTCTTTGGCCGAACAAGAAGAAATTTCTGATGATGATGATGAGGGAGAGGATGAAGAAGAAGGACCATCTCCACCAACACCACCAAAAGGAGGAGGAGTACAGCCACAAGCCAATAATGGAAAACTGAAAAAAGCAAATGAAAGTGAACCGCAAAAAGAAAATCAACGCCACGTCGAAGTTGAAAGACAAAATCCATCAGAAAAAGAAACGGTTGTTGATGAAGCGGAAGGAACCAACGAAAAAGAAGCAATCGGACTACAGCCGCAACAACAAAAAATTCCAGTCCGAGAACAGGATACAAGAAATGGAGAAGGAAATCAACCGACGCAGGGAAATGAAGAACAAACAATCGTTGAAGAAATAACACCACATAATCCCACAGAAGACCATTCTTCGGGAGAACACAAAGGCAGTGATGGTTCTAAAGAAATGGAAGAAGGGGAAGAAGGCGGTGTTGAGGGTTATGAAGGAAGAAATGAAAGGCATCGGGATCAAGTCAGGGAAGAAGCTGTACATGCCGCAGGTACCCCGAAATTAAACTCAACTGATATTCAGCAGGAAGTACAACGCACACATGCAGGAGAAACTCCGACAGGAATCAAACAAAAGGCTGAAGAAGAAAAAGATGATGAAACAGAAGCGGAACGAGAACAACAAAAGAAACAACACCAAGGGAATCCTACAGACAAAAAACAAGAATTCACAAGTGGTGCAAACGCCACTAATAAAATAAACACGACGCCTGGCGACAGTGACGGCAGCACCGCTGTCTCCCACACCACCTCTCCTCTTTTGTTTCTTCTTCTTGTTGCGTGTGCTGCTGCTGCTGTGGTGGTGGCCGCGTGAGAGTGAGTGAGAGAGCGCCATGCACCGCCCGCACACACACTCGTCTTTCACCCACTCTCTGTGTGTGTCCCCTTGCATGGACTCTCGCCCTCACCTCATCCCACGAAGCACACACATAATGTGCCCATTGTATGTATTGCATGCACACCCATGCAGGCCCGTTGGTGCTCTCTTTTGCACGACACGCACCGCTGCCGTCCTGCCTGACTGCATGGGCGGAGCACCGTAACTGTTTCTGTTTTGTTTCCATTGCATTGAGTGGGCGACCTCTCACTCTCTCTTTCTTTCCCTGTGTGTGTGTTTTGCTTTACGGGAGCAATGAGAGTGTGTGCGCTGGTCGTCCCACGCTTCGGCTTTTTGTTTTGTTTTTTCTTCTATTGTTTTACTTGTGTTGTGGCTGAGTGCACTCATTTCGTGGACTGTGTGTGTGTGATGATATGAGTAATTTGTGCGTGTGTGCCATCTGCCTCTCTCTGCCGTTGCTTTCTTCTGACTCTCTTGTATCGCACAGCCGCTCTGCAAGTGTAGGCCTCGACAACCACAAGCACAAGCACATGCACACACACACACACCATGTTGCACACGCTGTGGAGTGGCGTGTACGCTGAGAACACACGCACAAGATTCTTTCTGTGGCGGCTCTCGAAAGGAAGGAGGTCGTGTGCCCGCAATGCGTCACTTCGACGTGATGCGGTTGTTATGTTTGCGGCGTGCAGACAGTGAGTCGTGTGGCGTTGAAAGTGCCTGAGACAAATGTGGAACGATTCCCGCATAACAACTGCTGCACCTGCCGACGCGTTTTTTGCGCTGTGTATCGGTTGACGAGGGATTTTCCGGCTGTGCGGGGTGATGTGCGGGTGCGTTGGAGGAGACAACAGCAATACGACTGGCGGCAGCGCGTGGGTGCTGTGAAGGGCGGCTGTGCTTTTTTGCATCCCGCTGGTTGTGTTTTTTGTTTGGGCGTCGCTTGTTTTGTGCTGACGCGTGGCAGAAGCACCGCCGTGACTCCTGCTACTGGTGATGGTGACCGTCGCTGTGTGTTCCCGGAGTACTGTTCTTCCTTCTCCTGTTCCGTTTGCCTGTGTGCGTGAGTTGTTGTTGTTGGGAGTGACTGCGGCGGAAATGATGGTGCCACTCACTGTGGATGGGTGGCTGTGTTCACTGTTTCATCCTCTTTTCTTGGAATGTTTTCTCTCTATTTCTTTACTTCTCACGAACACACACTAGGAAGGAAAGCAAGCGCTAAACGCTACTGTGAACTTCGAAAGCTCCAAAAGGACCAACAGCAGCACACACACCGCCCACACACATATATTTATATGCTCTCACGTGTTGCTTCTGTGGAGGCACCCCGCACACACAGCCTTCGCCGCGTGACCGGATCCAGCGGAAGGAGGAGGGAAGGAAGAGAGAGTGAGCCGCGGAGGCCCAACATGTCCCGGCATCTCTTCTATTCTGCGGTGCTAATCTTTCTTGTTATGGTGATGTTCTGCGGCAGAGGAGCTGCTAGCGCGGATGTGAAGGAGTCATCTTCTGTCCAGTTTAAATGGGAAGGCATCACTGACGTTAAGGAAGCTGTGAAATCATTGGGTGTTCCCGGACTTCTAAAAGTGGAGAATGACGTATTTGCCGTTGCTGAGGCGCAGTGCAAGAAAGAAGAAGAAGAAAACACCTTTACTGGTATTGCATCCCAAATTCTCACGAAAAAAACTACTAAAGAGCCGGAGGAAGTTCTGAAGGATGCCAAAAAGGACATACAAGTTTTGGAGAAAGACGCTTCCCAAGGCAAGAAGAAAGTAGATGTGAGCCGACCAACGACAGTTGTGAAGGGAAGAGAGATTTACATGCTTGTTGGAAAATGCAGCCGGACAGCCGTTGCTCAGGAGAGTGTTGCAGAAGCCTCGGGGCTTTTTCTGGTGAAAGGGGAAGTCAGTGGTGATGAAAGTAAACAAAAAATCCTTTGGAAAGACACTAAGGATGTGCTACGGGCATCGTTTGGCAAAGAAATTTCATCCTTGGAAAGAATGATTTGCG